CACAAACATACACATGCATACATACGGGTCCAGAAGCACAGGCATACACACAAGAATACAAGCTTGCACATGCATATACACCCATGCAAACACACACATGAAGTGTCCCTATGTCTCTGAGATGGTTTGGTTCTCCAGTGTCGTCTTAGGGCCGCAGCCAATAATGGTCTCAAAGTAGAGGCGGTGATTCCACAATTAAAGAGATAATAAAGATTGGAGGGGTGACTTCTTGCTGCAGTCAGTCACATGACAGCAGTGTCAAGGGGTGAACACTTTCCCTCCTCTGCTCTGGTTAAATCCCTCCCTTTGCTGTGGGGTCCCAGGAGCCAAGTTGGGGTGAGGTCCCTTCTCTCAGCCCTCCAGCCTGGATCTCCCTCCCTCCCACCAGGCAGTTGCACTGGCAGAGTCCCGATGCTGAGGCCATGGGATCGCAGGACAGCCTCTCCCAGCGGTGGTCTCACCATCTGCTTCAAGGAAGGCCAGCGTGGGGATGGGGCTGTTTCGGGGGCCTTGGTCCTGCCAGTGGCCTGGGAAGGGCAAGCTGAGGCCTTGGTTCCTGGGGTGACCACACACTATGTGCCGTCAAATGACAGCTGTGGAGGCCAGGGGTCCGAGACGAAGGCTGGGCCATGCTGGTTCCTTCTGGAGGGTCATGGAACACTGCCTGTGCATCTGCTGGCTTCCAGTCATGCTGCAGCCCTTGGCATCCTTGGCTTGTGGTCACTCCAACCTCTGCCCCATCTCGTGTGCCCTCTGCCCTCATCTTCTCTTACTGGACACCTGTTGTTTCACTGGGCTGCCCTGACCCAGGGGGCCCAGGTCCATCTTGACCTTGACTTTATCTAAAAGGCTCATGATGGACTTGGGAGCACAACTGAACCAGTCACCAGGTTGTCCCATCATCTCTTTACTGTCCCCGAAGTATGACCTCTGCTGGCCACCGAGAGCAGGGTGGGAGCAGAGGTGGGCGCCTGGGGCCCAGGAGCCAAGCGCCATCTGTCCCGCGCCGGCCGTGTGGCCCACATGTGACCCGTTTAGTGAGGAGTTGCCTGCACTGGACAGTGGGCTCCTGAGCCAGGTCTTGCGTGTCGTCTTCCCCACCACGCCCGTGCAGAGCAGGGCCTGGGCAGGTCAGACGGGAGGCCCCACATCTCCTTCCTGCTCCTCATCCCCCAGGACCCCAGGTGGCCAGAGCTTCCACGTTGGGTTGGCAGACCCCTGGGGGTGCCCCGCAGTGGAACTCTGGACACCTTAGCCCTGCAAGATCGCCAGCCGTGAGGTGGTCTCCATTCAACACTGACCCCAGGAGACCCCTCCCTGACTCTGCCTGCCACGGTTTATGTTGTGCGAGGTCCAGAAACATCTCTGCAGCCAGGCCTGTGGAGGGGGTCAGCCCAAGGGGCGTCCCCAACGCCCACCCCCGTCCTGTGCCAGCTGCTCTAGGTCAGGCCTGTCTGACGTGTGCCCCCGGCCTGGCCACTGTCCTCAGCCCAGGCCAGTGTCTAGCACAGCTGGAATCAACTAGCAATCGACCAGTGCATGCAGAGCCAAGCTGTGACGCAGACGGTCACGGCGGGTGCCAGGGAGGGTCCCCTCCGCCCAGTGACTGTGTACACGTGATCTAGATGCTGGAGGGAGAACCCTGATCACAAAGTCCCGGGCTCTGGAGCCCGGCTCGTGGGGCAAGAACAGGCAGAGGGCCGCCGTGCTGATGCTGAGAAGAAAAGCAGGGTCTCAGGAGAGTGGGTGTCTGTCAGGGGGAGCAGGTGCACACTCGTATTTTATTCGAGGAGGGAAGGCTGACGGGCGCAAGCAGTGTCAGAGCAGGTAAAGCAGCCCTGCATCACCCCGGGGGGGAGGGGAATGTGCGTTTGAGGAGCAGCAAGGAGGCCCCATGGCCACAGCAAAGTGGACAAGGCAGGAGGGGAGAGAATGAGCCCGCTGAGGCCACCACCTGCTCCTGGGACCCGTGGCTCCTCCCCAGGGAGAAGAGGTAAGCCCCCAGCTCTGTGTTAACCAGACCCGCCAGGTGAGAGGGGAAGGGTCTTCTCGGCACCTGTATGTGTCTCTCGGCCTCCGTTTCTCTGCGCGATGAGAGGTGACAGGAGGCTGCTCTAGGCTCTGTCGGCCTGGGTCCCCCTCTTCCCCATACTTTATGGGCTGGGCCTAGATATTCACAGATGGACCTTTAGAAATAAACAGTCATGTTTAGAACTAATTTCTATTTATGGCAGGTGATGCTGGTTTGCCATTTATAGCAGTGGCAGAAACTGCTTTTATTTTTTTTTTAAACTTTGTATTTTGTATGGGGTATAGCCAATTAACACTGTGGTGATAGTTTGAGGTGCACAGCCAAGGGACTCAGCCATTCATACACATGTCAAACTTCCCTCCCATCCAGGCTGCCACGTAACATTGAGCAGAGTTCCCTGTGGTTATCCATTTTGAATACAGCAGTGTGTACATGTCCATCCCAAACTCCATAACTATCCCTTCCCCGCCACTCCTTCCCCAAGTTCGTTCTCTAAGTCTGTGAGTCTGAGAAACTGCTTTTAAATGTGTTTACTGTAGTATAAGAATGTGTTTGCTGTCAGGGACAACCCACAGACAGAACTGGAGGGGGCTCGGCATTAGTCTGCACTGTGGGGGTAACCGGCATGTCCAGAGGGGGAGCCCCCACCACAACCACCCCAAGACTACAACAATTGGGCCCCGAGTCTGCCCTCAGGCCAGCGGTGCCTGAGGGTGCCCTGGAGGGTCAGGGACAGAAGTGCTAGAGAAACATCACTTTATCACAGGATATTGAATCCAGCCCCCTGTGCTCTTCAGCAGGGTCTTATTTTTCATCTAGTTTATATGTAGTCCTTTGTATCTGCTAATCCCAACTCCCACTCCATCCTTCCCTCACCCCCTCCTTCCCCTTTGGTAACCATAGGTCTGTTCTCTGTGAGTCTTTCATAAATTAAGTTCATTTGTATCATACTTTAGATTCCACAATATAAGTGCTATCATATATTTGTCTCTGACTTAACTTCATTTAGTATGATAATCTCTAGTTCCTCCCACGTTGCTGAAAATGACATTATTTCATTCTTTTTATGGCTGAGTAATATTCCACTGTTATGTATATACCACATCTTTATTCATCTGTTGATGGACACAGTGCCTTGGCTATTGTAAGTAATGCAGCTATTAACATTGTGGTTATATGTGTCTTTTCAAATTAAGAGTTTTCTCTGGATATACACATAGGAGTGGGATTGCTAGAAAATATGGTAAGTCTATTTTCAGCTTTTTAAGGAACCGCCATACTGTTCTCCATGGTGGCTGCACCAATTTACACTCCCACTAAGAGTGGAAGAGGGTTCCCTTTTTCCACATCCTCTCCAGCATTTATTGCTTATAGATATTTTTGATGATGGCCATTCTGACCAGTGTGAGGTAATAATTCATTGTGGTTTTGATTTGCATTTCTCTATTAGTAAGGGCTTCCCTGGTGATTCAGTCGGTAAAAAAATCCACCAGCAATGCAGGAGACCCAGGTTCGATCCCTTGGAGGAGGAAATGGCAACCCACTCTAGTATTCTTGCTTGGAGAATTCCATGGACAGAGGAGCCTGGTGGGCTACAGGGGTTGCAAAGAGTCAGATGTGACTAAGCAACTTAGCACGCACAATTATTAGTGAGGTTGAACATCTTTCCATATGCCTGTTGGCCATCTGTATATCTTCTTTGGAGACATGTATATTTAGGTCTTCTGCCCATTTTTTGATTGGGTTATTTGGTTTTTTGTTATTTATTTGTATGAACTGTTTGTATATTTCAGAAATTAAGCCCTTATCAATTACATCATTTGCAAATATTTTCTCCCAATCTGTAGGTTGTCTTCTCACTTTGTTTAAAGTTTCCTTTGGTGTGCAAAACTTGTGTTTATTTTTGCTTCTATTGCCTTAGGAGACTGACCTAAAAAAACACTGCTATGTTTTATGTCAGAAGAGAACATAGGCAAAACATTCTCTAAGAGTTTTATGGTGTTGTGTCTTATATTTTTTTGTGTATGGTGTGAGCAAGTGTTCTAACTTCATTTACATGTGGCTGTCCAGCTTTCCCAACACTACTTGCTGAAGAGACTCAAACATCTTCTGAAGGGGCAGATAGCAAATGTTTTAGGCTTTGCAAGTAATGTAAGCTCATCACAGCCACTTAGCTCAGCTGTTGTGCAAAATCAAGCCACAGACAATGTGTAAATGAATGAACCTGGCCGTGTGCCAATAAAACTTTATTTATAAAAAACAGGCAGTGGCAGACAGATTAGGCCCATAGGCCAGAGTTTACTGATCCTCAGAGGCCCCTCAGTGACTCGCAACTACCCACGAAGGTCTAGACACCTTACCAGGCACTGCTCTCTCGGGGTGCTGCACTGGCGGCTCCTGGCGAGGTCTGGCTGCAGGAGGGCTGGGGAACCCCTTCAGTGCCCAGAAACGTGCTGCCCTCATCCAGCTTTATTTGCCTCCTAAAACCCACACCTGTATCCAAACACCAACCGCTCCTTCCAGGCAGCATGCAGACACAGTCTGCTGGTGTGCAGATAACAGGGTCAGGGGTTCAACTTCCCTTCTCCTGTTTGAATTTCTGACACTGAAGATGCTAAAGAAATGAGGTCCCTGCAGACACACATCTGGGGTCACCTCTCTTTGCACACTTCCACCCTGATTTTACAGACCTCAGTGTCTTACAGTCCAAGCCCCCTTTTCCTTCCTTCTACTTTGATCCACACTTGTGAAAGCCAGGTGCTGGGATGAAGGCAAAGACCTTGCCACCCACTGTGAGTGAGGAAAATGTTCTTCTGCCAGGTCACCTGCCAAGCACCCGGCGCCCAATACCCTGGGCAGGAAGGGGACCCAGCAGCAGCTGAGTCCATCCAGGGAATATGTTTCTTTGATGAAAGATAAACAGCTAAACCCAAACTGCTGCTCTGTTCTTCCCTCTTGTCCCTTCTAGAAAGTCCAGCAGTATATGGTCATCATTCAGGCCACAGACATGGAAGGGAACCTGAACTACGGCCTCTCCAACACAGCCACCGCCATCATCACAGTGACGGACGTGAACGACAACCCACCGGAGTTCACCACCAGCACGGTGAGTGCGTGTCCCTTCCTGAATCTGGAGGAGTTGGCCACTGGTGTTCAGGCTCCAGGGAGAGGCTGAAGCGTCGGCCACTTTGGGGTGTGCTCGGCGGGACAGGCTGCGGGATGCAGGGGGACATGCCAGGTCCCTCTGGCAGGACCCTCCACAGCCCACCATCAGCAGGAGGGCAGTGGGGGACACCATGTGTCCTGCCCCTTCAGGCACGGCAGGCAGGCTGTGACCAGGCCACGAGCCAGGCTGCCCACCGACCTGAGTGCCCACAGGAACAGCCTAGTGGCACAGCTGTGGGATCACAGAGCCACCAGGAGTCACAGGCTCCCAACTCCTCTAGGTTCCCAAGGAGCTGTCCTTTGGTCCATTCGCCTGGGGTGGAGGTGCTGACAGGACAGAAACCTACACCCACCCTGCAAATGCCTGGCCGGAAATGTGGTGGGTGGTGGGAGCGTGGTCAGTGAGGGCTCCCGGGGCACCGAGCAGATGAGAGAGTAACTGCAACAAATGAAGACCTGGGGCACCAACCAGGCCGCAGAGCCCCTCTCCCCCAGCACCAGCCTGGGCCTCTGGTCAACCTGTGGTCCCCACCAACCCCGTGAGGCTCAGGACCCAGTTATGGGAGAGGAGGTTGAGGCTCAGAGAGGCTAAGTCACTTACCCAGAGCCACAGAGTCCACGAGGGGAGCAGCTGGGAGTGGGCCCCAGAAGCTGAGCTCTCAGGGGAAGGAGAGGAGAACCCCTGGCTCCCAGGAGGTGGGTCAGCTTGTTGTGGAGGCATCTCACAGGCCAGAGCCCCTCGCAATGAGCCCACGTCAGCATCCCCTCATCCTGCTTCCCCACGGCCCCCACACCCTTCAATCCCAATCTCGCAGCCCTCCGTCCTGCATCCTAGAGTCCCAGGCTCTAGGTCCGGTTGGACCAAGGCGGGAAGAGGGCAGTCCCAGCTGTGAGGACACAGTGCCACCTGGTGGGCAGATGGCAGATCGCCCTGTGGGGTCAGGGTGGGATAGCTTCCGTTTTGTGGGCTCTCCAGGGCCAGGCGGCAACGTCCAGGGAGTCTGGACATGAGTGAGACATCCCCCCCAGCCCATCCCCAAAGCAGCCCCCATCCTTCTGGGGTTTTTCTGTTCTCAGCATGGATCCTTGGAAACTTTCAGAACAAATTTTCATTGTGTCTCCCAACTTAATCATTCTCTTTTAACTTGAATTTTGGTTAGGTCATTCACACACACAGCACAACAACTTAAAGTTACAAAATGACTTATTTTGAGGAAGAGGCCCTGGTGTTTTAATTCTGTCCTTGTGTCCTTTCTAGTTTTCTGTTTATGATGTGTCCTGAAGACATTTCCACATCCAGATTCCAAATGGTCTTGGAATTTTTTCAACATGTGTTTAGAAATAATTTCAAGTTCACAGAAAGGTTGCAAGAATAGGAATGGGGAATAGAGGAGAAGGCAGGATGGTAGAGTAGAAGGCCTTGAGCCCATCTCCTACCACAAAACTCAAAATCACAACTGCTGAACAGTCATCAATAAAAAAAAGACGGGGAATTGCCAAAAGAGATTTTCTACATCCAGGGGTATAAAGAAGAAACCACAACATGATGGGAGGAGAGCACTCTCACAATGTAAACAAATCCCATCTCAGGAAAGGTCAGTTAAACTAAAAATTGGTTCTTTGAGACTACTACAGGCAACCATATGGCAATAAATTAGACAACCTAGAAAAAAATGGACAAATTCTTAGAAAGGTACCATCTCCCAAAACTGAACCATGAAGAAATAGAAAATATGACCAGACCAATAACAAGTACTGAAGTTGAGTCTGTGATTTAAAAACTCCCAACAAACACGAGTCCAAGACCAGATGGCTTCACAGGTGAATTCCATCAAACATTTAGAAAAGAGTTAACACATATCTTTTTGAAACTACTCTGAAAAATTGCAGAGGAAGAAACAACTCATTCTATGAAGCTACCATCACCTTGATACCAAAATCAGGCAGATGCTTCAAAAGAGGAAAATTACAGTCCAATATCACTGATGAACATAGATGCAAAAATCCTCAACAAAACACTAGCAAACAGAATCCAACACATTAAAAGTATCAATCAAAAAAAAAAGTATCAATTTAAAAAAAGACTGGGACCTCCCACCATAAGCAAGGAGAATTCATCCCAGGGATACAAGTATTTGTCAACATCTGCAAATCAATCAGTGTGAACCACCACATTAACAAATTGAAGAATAAAAACCATATGATCATCTCAATAGATGCAGAAAAAACTTTTGATAAAATTCAACACTCATTTATGATAAAAAACTGTCCAGAAAGTGGGCATAGAGGGCACCTACCTCAACATAATAAAGGCCATGTATGACAAACCCACAGTTAACATCATACTCAGCTGTGAGAACGTAAAAGCATTTCTTCTAAGGTAAGAACAAGACAAGAATGTCCACTCTTGCTGCTTTTATTTGGCATAGTTTCGGGAGTCCTAACCAAGGCAATCATAGAAGAAAAAGAAGTAGAACTTATCCAAACTGGAAAAGAAGTAAAACTGTCACCGTTGGCAGATTACATGATCCTATACAGGAAAATCCTAAAGATGCTACCAGAGCTATCAATGAATTTGGTAAAGTTGTAGTATACAAAATTAATGTGTAGAAATCTGTTGCATTTCTACAGATTTACAATGAAAGATCAGAAGGGAAATTAAGAGAACAATCCCACTTAACATTACAACAAAAAGAATAAAATACATAGGAATAAACCTACCTACAGAGACAAAAAACCTGTACTCAGAAAATATGAGACACTGATGAAAGGAATTAAAGACAACACAAACAGATGGAGAAATACACTAAGTGGATTGGAAGAATCAATATTGTCAAAATGACTCTACTACCCAAGACAACCTACAGATCCAATGCAATCTTGATCAAATTACCAATGGCATTCTTCACAGAACTGGAACAAAAAATTTCACAATTTGTATGGAAACACAAAAGACCCCAAACAACCAAAGAAATCATGAGAAAGAAAAACGGAGCAGGAGGAATCAGGCTCCCTGACTTCACACTATACTAAAAGCTGCAATCATCAAGACACTATGATACTGGCACGAAAATAAAAATATAGACCATTGGAACAAGATAGAAGGTTTAGAAATAAACCCACACACACCTATGGTCACCTAATCTATGACAAAGGAGGCAAGAATATATAATGGAGAAAAGACAGTCTCTTCAGTAAGTGGTGCTGGGAAAACTGGACAGCTATGTGTAAAAGAATGAAATTAGAACATTCTCTAATATCATACAAAAACTCAAAATGGATTAAAGACTTAAATATAAGACCAGATACTATAAACTTCTAGAGGAAAATATAGGGAGGATGCTCTTTGACATAAATCACAGCAATATATCTTTAGATCCATCTTCCAGAGTACTGAAAAAAAAAAAAACAAATAGGGACTTCCCTGGTGGTCCAGTGGCTAAGACTCCTCACTCCCAATGCAGGGGGCCAGGTTCAATCCCTGGTTAGGGAATTAGATTCCACATGCCTCAACTAAGACCCAGAGCAGCCAAATAAATAAATATTTAAAATAAATTTTAAAAAAACAAATAGGACCTAATAAAACTTTAGAGTTTTTACACAGCAGAGCAAACCGTAAATAAAAGGACAACCTACGGAATGGGAGGAAATACTTACAAATGAAGCAACTGATGAGGACTTAATCTCCAAAATACTCAAACAGCTCGTGCGGCTCAATATAAAAAAACCACCCAATCAAAAAATGGGCAGAAATAAAAATTTTTTAAAAAAGGGCAGAAAACCTAAGTAGACATTTTTCCAGATAAGATATAGAAATAGCCAAAAGGCACATGAAAAGATGGTCAACAATGCTAATTAGTAGAGAAATGGAAATCAAAACTGCAGAGATACCACCTCCCACCAGTAAGAATGGCCATCATTTAAAAGTCTACAAACAACAAATGCTGCAGAGGCTGTAGTGAAAAGGGAGCCCTCCTACACTGTTGGTGGGAATGCAAACTGGTGCAGCCACTATGGAGGACAGTATGGCGGTTCCTTAAAAAACTGAATACAGATCTAGATATTATCCAGCAGTCCCACTCCTGGGCATATATAATCCAGAGAAAACCATAATTTGAGAAGATGCACACACCCCAGTGTTCACTGCAGCACTATTTACAACAGACAGGACATGGGAGTAATTTAAGTGTCCACTGAGACAGGAATGGATAAAGGTGTGGGACATAATGGAATATTACTCGGCCATAAAAAAGAATGAAATAATACCATGTACAGCAACAGGGACGGATGATGATCACAGTAAATAAAGTCAGAACAGAGAAAGACAAATACAGTATGATATCACTTATTTGTCAAATCTAAAAAACGATACAATGAATTTCTTTACAAAACAAAACAGACTCAGGGACTTGGAAAACAAGCTTATGGTTATCAAAAGGGAAGTGGGGAGAGGAGTAAATTAGGAGTTTTGGATTAACATATATACACTACTATATATAAAATAGATAATCCACGAGGACCTACGTATAGCACAGGGAACTCAGCATTTTTAACCTGTATGGCGAAAGAATCTGAAAAAGAATATACGTATCTATACATACAACTGAATCACTTTGCTGCACATCTGAAACTGATAGACACTGTAAATCAACTAGACTTCAGTTAAAAACAACAGCCACTCACGTGGCCCCATCAGCACCATCCTCCATACCTGCCGCTCCCTGTAGACATGCCCACAGAATTCCTCTGAACGGCTAGACGATCAGCCATACGTTGTAAAGCCTCATGTTCAAACACCTCTTCCTAAGAGGAGGGTTTTCTGTCAGGGAAATGGCTGAGACCCTTTTCCCACCAGAGACACCTGAGGCTCAGAGAGTTACTTTTGGGCCGCCCGAGGTCTCCTGCTCCCCTGGCCACCTGCTCACCACACCCCTGTCCTCCGAGACCCTCCCAGGTCCTCTGCACCTGCCAGCCCACCCCCACCTCGGCTTCTGCAGCTCCAGAGGGGGCCTCGAGGCGGCCCCTACACCCAAGCTCCTGCAGGGTGGGTCCACGGGGGACCACTTCCGTCCACTGTCTCAAGCCCTGGTCTGGTTTTGACAGCCTGGTGTCGTGTGGCTCTTCGTGCTTCTTATCTTAACCTCATCTGCCCTTCTGCACACCAGCCACACTGCAAACACGCTGAGCCCCCAGAAATGCTGGATCCTGGGTGACCCACAAGGAGACAAAGGGGAGGGGACAGGAGGAGGAGGAGGACACCGTCCTGACTCCTTATGTGCACCAGGGCATCTGCACAAGGGCAGGGGGATGACCAGCAAGATACTCCCAGGTCCACACCCACCTCTGAAGAGTGGGAAGCCCAGGAATTACACTGAGACCCCAGCCAGGGTGTGAATATGACCAAGGAGGCACCCTGGAGCATGTTCCTGGGGCCCCGTGGCAAGCAGGGCCCCAGGACACGGTCTGCTGGGCTCAGTGGGGGCTGGCCACACCCCCACACACAGCTGGGCTATTTTTGTCGAGTTTAATCAAGAACAATCAGCAGAAGCTGAAGAGATGGGAGGGTGGATTTGCATGATCCGATTCCTATTCTTAAACGTTAATTAAAAGTCATTTTCCCTTTGCCCGCTCTGGGCCTGCACTACGCTTGCTTCCCCTGCATGGCTTTCCTGCTGTCAGAAGGCCACTGACCTCAGCACTCCCTGGGGGGCAGGGCTGAGCCCCCAGAACACAGCCCCACAGCAGGCCCCGGTCCTAGACCAAAGCCCCAAGACCCAGCCCCCTCACCACCCACACACAAGCCCACAGGAGGGTCTCCTGGAGTCAGGAAACCCCTTCTGCCCCCAGAGTCCCTGTTGTGTGACCTTGGGCTGATGGCCAGACCTCTCTGAACACAGGAATGTCTTCCCCTCTTTACACCTGAGTGTTACACAGCTCAGGGTGAAGCCGGGAGCATCCATTGAACTACAGGGAAGTTTGTTCTCTGCCCTAAAAATGCCACTGGGTGGTACCTGCCTTCCATCACAAGGGGCCTGACTTGGCAGTTGAGTAGACAGGTTTCCAGCTCTGCCTTCAGCAGGGGAGAGGTCAGGATGGAGGTGCCAGAACATTCATTCCAAGTCCAGTTTCCTCATCTGTTAAAAAAAAAAAAAGGAGAATGGTAAAGGAGGTGATCAGAGAAATTCTTATATGTTGATACAATCAATACAACAGAACCGCTTGAAACAAACATGAAGTGATGTATAATATTCTAATAAGGAAAATCCTCCAAATAGATTAACCACTGAAAAGCCAGTGGACAGGAGAGGTGAAGAGCACAACGATCCTTTTCTTGTAAATAAACTATATTATGTAAATATCAAAAGAGGAGGCCGGAGTCCTGCAGGTACATAGTTGTAGACTGTGGTAGGTTCGTTTTCACTGTGTATTTGACTAGATGACCCCATCCAAGACAAGCGTGAATCAAATTAGGTTAAATATTTTTTAAAACGGGGACTTCCCTGGCGGTCCAGTGGCTAAGATTCCCTACTCCCAGTGCAGGGGGCCTGTGTTCAGCCCCTGATCAGGGAACTAGACCCCACATGCCACAACTTAAAAGATCCCACGTGACAGAAAAGGTCACACGTGCCACAGCTAAGACCTGGCAGAGCCAAAAAATACGTATCTTTAAGATGGAGGGTGAGCTTCTGGCAGTCCCCATCCCAGGCTTCCCTGAAGATGGAAGAGAGGACAAGCCCCAGTACCCCCCTTTCTGGAAAGGGGGTGACCAAGCCCACCTGTGAACCACAAAGCCAGGCAGGGGCTTCACGGTGTCTTGTGGCTGAGGGTCGGGTCCTCCCCTGAGCCAGTGTCACGGGGGCACGTCCCCACGTTACTCACGAGCTCCTACCACATCACCGCGAGGAGGGGCGAGGCTGCAGCGTCCCACCCGGTCCCGGGCCCCGGGCTCCTCCCGGGGGTGGAGGAGGATGAACGTCAGCCCCCAGGTCTCACCCCGTTATTATGAGCCACGGCTCCCACCTGTCGGCTCCCGATTCCAAACTCGGCAGCCAACAGAAATCGCTGCAGTTTCACTGGACAGGAAACTAAACTTCAAAGATTAAAATCACTGGTCCAGTCATGGCTTGAATAGGGGGCACATAGCAACATCTCGGGGGCTTGGCGTCCCCCAGGGTGTGGGGGGCAGGCGCTGTCATCTCCATCTGCTCGGCCCAGCTGAGGGGTTGCTGGGCTTCCCTGTTCTCCCCCCCAACTCTTCTGCTACCGTGGCCCTCCCTTGGGAGGAGTTAGGATTGAACAGGAAATCCACCTGCCCCTGGGGTGGGTAGGTGTGAGTTCTGGATTACCGATCAGCAAGGCAAGAAATCCCATTCCAACGCTCCTTAAATCCCTCCTTTCCCAAATATCTGCCTTAGTATCCCATGGGGCATGGGGGAGGCTTTCCCTGTGCCTGAAAACCCCAGAAATTAAATTAAAAACTCATGATAGCTAGGGGAAGGCTGACAAGAAAATCCTAAACCAGACTTACCAGCTTAAGGCCCTTCTTTGCAAACCTTTATTAAACCTGCATGAAATTAAAATACCCTTTTCCAATAAACCACCCAGAAGTCAGTAACCATGGTTAGGGCTGCGCTGCTGTGAACACAAGGAAGCCCTGGCTATTTGTCCAGGTTTGTGCCCAGCTTCTGTGGCCCGAAAGCACACTGCGCAGTCATAGGTCAGTCACGTGACTTGCAGGTCCCGTGTTAAAGTAAGGATGCAGGGTCCTCATTCACAAGGAAGAATTTCCAGACTGATGCAGAGCGTAAACCCAGCTCAGGGCTCTTCTGAGCTGGGCCATGTCTGCACAGCAGTGATTCTCACTGGTGAGAGGCGCTCAGCTTTCTATCAGCACCTCAGCACCAGCACCAAACAGCCATGCACACTCACCGCACTTTGCCTGCCCATAACCACTGCTGCCCTGTGAACCACACTCGCTGACGGGGATGGCTCAAAGCCCTCACCGAGCTGCGATAGGAAAAAATGGGCCAAGGCTCCGTGTCTGGTCACCTGCCCAGCCGCAGCTGCTGACCACAGGCCCCAGGGCCCATCAGGGACCCAGAGGCGATTCGGTTCAGGAAGCCCTTTGCAGCTGCCACCCACTCCTGTTCATTTCCCCTCCCAAGAGCACATTTTACTGTCTCGTAAGCCCCAGGTACTAGCATTGGTCCCCCGCTGCACAGAGCAGGGCAGTGTGAAGGGGACTTAGGGGAGCAACCTGGCATTCGGGTGTCACAGGCGGGGCTCGGTATGCAGACAAGCCTGGGCCTCTCTGGAGGCCCCTGGGTTGGCACAGACATGGGATGGGCCGAACCCTGGGGATCACCGTGTGGAAGCAGCTGGAGGCAGAGGGCAGCCCCCAGGGTGGGCAGGGGTCTCCTTGATCTCACCAGGCTTCCATGTGGGTTCCTCACACTGTCTTTTCTGATACCCTACAGTATGCAGGGGAAGTCCCAGAAAACCGGGTGGAGATGGTGGTGGCGAACCTCACGGTGATGGACCGAGATCAGCCACACTCCCCGAACTGGAACGCCGTCTACCGCATCATCAGTGGGGACCCCTCGGGCCACTTCAGCGTCCGCACGGACCCCACCACCAATGAGGGCATGGTCACTGTGGTTAAGGTGGGTGCTCCCTCATTTCCCGCCCCAAGACAGACGTAACGGAAACGACGTCCAGGTTCAGTGCCTGCACTCCCAAAAGCCAGGGTCAAAGGCCGTCTCACAAGGACCAGTCACATGACCCCCAGGACGCTGCCAGTGTGACCTGCCATCCCCTGCCCCACCAAGAGAGAACTCTCCCATCTTCTCCCCACACCCGGCCCAAAGCTCCCGAAGCTCGAAAGCCGAGAATCAGCCTCTCCTGCTTCCCCTCAGGAGATGACAAGCCTTGTCGGGGGCAGTGAGCAAACTGTGACCCAGGTGCCTGGAGGAGGGTCAGGGAGGAGGGAACACCAGGGAGCAGGCCAGCTCAGGGGTCGCAGTCCCTCCAGCCCCTCCTCCCCCTGCAGCTCCCAGAGCAAGGCTTCCCCTGGAGCCTCCTGACCGTGGGGACAGTGTGGCTCCTGGGTTCCCCACAGGCCCTAGTGCCCCCGGCCCAAGAGCCTGCACCCCACACTGAGCTACTCCCTCTGGGGGCATAGACCAGCCCCTGGGCTTTGAGCAAGGGGTCGTGGCCATGTCGGGGGAGGCAGCCAAACAGAGACCAGGTGAGTGTGTCAGACTCCGACTGAAGAGTGGGAACAAATCACCTATTGATTTCCCCATTACAGTTGGTCATTTTCCCCGTTACAATCGGTTATATTCCCCATGACAAATATGCTTTCCTTTCCCTCCTGTGGACCTTACTGGCCATGACCGACCTCTGGAAGGTGTCCTCGCTCATGATGACACAGCTTTGACACAAATGCAGCATTATCCCACATCCTCCAGGGACACGACCTGAGACACACGGGAGAAAGATCACTTCCTCCAGTGACTTGCTCACAGATGAAACCACTGTAATCCTATGAAACAGTGTATTCAAGCGAAGTGGCCCCCATTTTACTCTCAGGGGGCCCTGGGGGGGGGCTGGAGACCTGGCAGCCGCACAGGTCTTGGCATGGCTGGGAGGGCCTCAGCCATGGAGGGATGGGGTGCCTCTCTGGGGGCTCGGGGGGTCTGTGAGACACCCCTTTTATCGGCAGATGAGACCACGCCTGCGGAGGATAAGAGTCCCCCCAGGGTCATCAGGGGTGGTGAGGGGACAGTGGGGAGGAGATGAGGGTGTCGGCCCCAGAACCCCGATCTCTGCCGCCGCCTCCAGGCCCTCCCGTGGGCAGGCATCCTCAGCCCCCTTTCCACGCCCACCCAGTTAGATTACTTCTTAAACTCCTTCCTGTACTCCATAGCTTATTTAGTAACAGAGGCTGAAAAGGCATGACTTTGATGTACCAGGCGTTATGACTAAACGCTTACAGAGACTGCGGTGGGAGTCCAGACAGGGCGGGGGCACCTCAGCTGGGCAAGCAGGGGGCCCGCCTCCAGCACCCACAGGTCTCACAGGACCACTGGCCCCACGAGGCCATCAAGTCCCCTTTAGCAGAGATGTGTCGCAGTACTTATCACAGACGTTTCCAAGGGCACCTAGCCGTGAGAGACAGGAGTGCCGCGCCTGGCACTGCAATTCCCTGGTTGCTAGCGTTGCTCTATCCATGCTTCCAGACCTCAGGATGCCATCCTCTGCTCTCCTAACCATGTACCGCTACAGCCCCTGGCACAGCCAGCCACACCTCTGCAGTCTCCAGGATGTGTCCACACCTAACTTCTCTCCATTTTCCTAAAGCCATCTCTTTGCTGTGCCATTTTTCGAGTCTGGATCCCAAAAGGGTCCCAATACTGTGTTTGGTTGCACCATCTCTTGAATTTCTCAACACTCAACTCGGGGTCCGTGGTGCCAGCCCTGTCGATGGCTTCCTCGTGGTATATCTGGTCCCTCATTTTAGAGGACATGCTTCCTTACCATCTCGAATCTTTCAGCCACTCATTCACATGAACACTTCATCCAAACTGAACATGGGAGAGGTTTACTTAACTTCATTGCTTTTTGTACTTGATCTCACTTCTCTTACACTGAAACTCTTGGTTGGCACCAAACAATTAAATTGCTAATTTACTTGAACCTACAACACACAGTTGCCGCTCCGCATCCATGGGGTGACTGGTCCCAGGACCTCCAGCTCAGGGAGACACCAAAATCCACAGATGCTCAAGTCTTTCATATAGAATGGCACAGTATTTCCACACAACCTGCACATACTCTCACATATATTTTAACTTATGATACCTGATACAATACCAACACTGTGTAAATAGACGCCTGTGTGTGGCAAGTTCAGGGTCTGCCTTTTGGAAATTTCTGGAATTTTTTTCAATTATTTCCAGTTGGTGGTTGGTTGAGTCCACAGATATGAAACCCATGGATATAGAGAACTGACTGTATGTAAAAAACTTAAAAAATAACAAACTAAACATCACTGCCAACACCAGGAAGACCAAATGAATTTAAGACTTTTCTGCAATAACTGTTATCCTCAGAATAAATACCATGAAGGACTCACGATCTAAATACTGTCCTTGTCACTAGAAATCATTATTTTCTTGGGAGTTGTATTACCATTGAGCATCACCAACTCAATGGACATGAATCTGAGCAAACTCCGGGAGACAGTGGAGGACAGAGGAACCTGGCATGCTGCAGTCCAAGGGGTTGCAGAGTAGGACATGACCTAGCCACTGAACAACAACAACAAGATTTTATGTGGCTCCAAAAATCAAAGCTATACGGCAAAACATGCAGCAAACTCATGCCCCCTGACTCCCCTCCACCGGGTCCTTCCCTCTGCTCAGGGGTGACCATTTTAACGAGGTTTTTTTTTTTTCCTCTTTTCAGCATTTCTTTCTAGAAGTACGAGCAGGTACATACACAAATCCACACTCCTCTCCCCCTTTTACACAAGAGGCAGCACATGCAGGATGTTGCCTTTTCAGCTCACCAATCCATCCTGGAGGTCTCGCCACTTCTGTGTGCATCGCCCTGGTTCTTACAGCTGCAAATGTCCCCACTGTGTGGACGCGGCTCGTCCACCCACCAGTGCCGTGAAAACTGCGGCATCCTCCGTGAACGATACAGATGATGCTGTGGTGAACGTTCTTGGGCACATGCTACTTCACATGCATCCAAGCAGAATTATTCAAGTTCAGTCGCAGTGAGACTGCTGCGAGCTCTGCCACAAATAATTACACGTCTTGGGGCCCCAGGTATTTCTGTGCAGCTTTCGTCCTCCTCAACACGTGAAGATGACCCTGCAGGCCAGCCACACCCTGCAGACCACACCAGCGCTTATCAGTCAGGGTCCTAACACCCCAACACATGTGTGAACAGGAAAGAATGTTCACACAGGGGCCCACACAGAGGAAGGGCCCACAAGCCCCCAGGGGCTGGTATCCTGTAACTCACCCCTGACCGGATGGGTGACAACTGAAGAAGGTCCTCTCACAGCTCTGGGAGGGTCCCCCCAGCCTCGTCCAGTTCCTGGTGCTGTCCTTGGCTGGATCCATACCACCCCACCTCTGCCTCTGCACCTTCACCTCACCCCTCCCTGCATCTCAAGTCTCCCTCCCTTGACTCCCAGGCACCCATGCCTGGACTGGGGGCCACCTCAATCCAGCACAACACCTCTCAAGACCTTCACCTTCATCACACCTGCAAAGACCCTATGTGCCCAAAGGGCACATCCACAGGCTCCAGGTGGACACATCTTTGGGGGCCACCCCTGCAGCCACCACAGCACGTGAGCAGCCTGGACAGACAACAGCCCCCCAGGGTGTCAGGAGCAGGGTGGGGGCTCCACACTCCCAATGCAGGATGAGAGCTGGAGGCCTGGTTGGGGGGCACCTGGGAGAACTGTGGCCCCCAGGGAGCCCAGCTGCTGCCACTCCATGACTTGGGGGTGGAAGGTGAGGTGTGAGGTCCTTCAACCCCACTCTCTCTCTCCTCCCACTGCCCTAACCCCACAGGAAACCAGACACAGAAGCTGGGGGACAGCATTCCTGGGGACCGGCCTCTTGGGCCCAGAGCTAGCAGGTGCAGACCAAGCAGCCCCGTGGGCACTAAGCCGGCTGCCCCTCTTGGTGCCTCTCATTCCAGGCAGTCGACTATGAGCTGAACAGAGCATTCATGCTGACTGTGATGGTGTCCAACCAGGCGCCCCTGGCCAGCGGGATCCAGATGTCCTTCCAGTCCACAGCGGGGGTGACCATCTCCGTCATGGACATCAACGAGGCCCCCTACTTCCCCTCCAACCACAAGCTGATCCGCCTGGAGGAGGGTGTGCCCACTGGCACCGTACTCACCACGTTCTCAGCAGTGGACCCCGACCGGTTCATGCAGCAGGCTGTGAGGTGGGCCCACAGAGCGCCCTCAGGCCCTGGGAAGGGGTGCCCCGTGCTCCACAGAGAAGAATCCTAAAGTGCCCCGTGAAACCTGAGACCCGGAAAGTCCTGGGTGGGTGATTAGGGGTGCCCCTAGGCAGGGAGGCCCTGTCTGGGGACAGCTGGATCACCAGCCACCCGGCTGCCCCGATACAAGACAGTGGGAAATGCTTGAAGGACATTAATCCACGTCTAGCATCAGACTGGGTACGGACCCCACCTCTCATTCCTGAGCTGTGTGACTTTGCAAGTCACCAGCCCTCTCTGCTCCCCCGTCACCCCTCTGTAAAGGGGGGTGATAGGAGAATCTGCCTCCCACGGTTCTTGTGAGGTTAAGTAGCCCGTCTTCCTCAGGGACTTCCAGCCACTGCTGTCACTGGCCCAAGTGGGAGGCCCCAGTGAGCTCAGAGAGCAAGCGGGCGGGCAGGAGGGGCTCCCCCAGCCCCTCGCCTCACCCCTCCTCCTCCCTGCAGATACTCAAAGCTTTCAGACCCAGCAAACTGGCTACATATTAATGCCACCAACGGCCAGATCAGCACGGCCGCCGTGCTTGACCGCGAGTCTCTCTACATCAAGAACAACGTCTATGAGGCCACTTTCCTTGCGGCTGACAATGGTGCGCCCAGGGGCAGGGAGATGTGCTGGGTGGGGGTCTGTGAGCGGGGCCCCCTCAGCCACTGGTGCCCCGGAGCCCCTCCCTCATCCATTCGCAGCCTGCCTCAGCCAAACAACATGATTGTTACTGTCAGGTTGGAGATGCCACCAAAAAGCAGGACCACGGTCAGCGGAGGACAGAGGGAGCAGCTCTGGCCAGCCGGCACCAGTCCACCCACACCGTGGGCCTGCACTGAGGCAGGGGCTGGGCTTGGGGGCTCCAGGGCGACCACACGTGCGCAGGCGTGTGCCGCTCGTATGTGGTGCGCAGCTGAGTCGCTGTGTATGTCACACAACAGAGTCAGTGTATGGGGCCATGGGGTGTGTCCTGGGCAGGACTGTGCTCGCGGAGCCCAGGAGTGACCGCATGACTGCCCACGTCCGACCCACAGGGATACCCCCGGCCAGTGGTACTGGGACCCTCCAGATCTATCTTATCGACATCAACGACAACGCCCCTGAGCTGCTGCCCAAGGAGGCGCAGGTCTGTGAGAAGCCCAGCCTGAATGCCATCAACATCACAGCGGCTGATGCTGACGTGGACCCCAACATCGGGCCCTACGTCTTTGAGCTGCCCTTCGTTCCCGCAAGCGTGCGCAACAACTGGACTGTCACCCGCCTCAATGGTGAGCCCGCCTCGGGAGCCCACCCTCCGGCTGCCTGGCCACCGGGAAAGTCAGACAGAGTCCGGAGGGCAGCCCCACCCAGGCCTGTCACCAGGGAAGCAGGAGCAGTGGAGTCAGGAGCCAGTCTCACAGGGGCTGTGCAACCCTTCCTGCAGGGCAGGGGCCCTGCCTACTCCAGGGCTCAGCCACCAAGGAGGCCCCAAGGCAGGCCCCAACCTTGTCCTTTAAAGAGCTCCACGTGACCATTCTGCCACTGTAACCGCATGTGACCGAGACCACTCCCCGAGCCAGTCACTGAACAATGGGCCCCCCCCACCACCACCAGGTTCCCTGAGGCACTTTCCTAGCCATGGCCTTGGTGGACAGGGCTTTCAAGTTCTGGAGTTCTGATAGCATTTACTTGTTCCCCAAACCCTTGCCAACACATCATTGTTTTAAAATCATTTTTCTAATTTCTTAGCCAAAATCACTGTTTCCACTTGCATCTTTTAACTACCAGTGGGCATTTTTTCATCTATTTGCCATTTTTTGCTTCTGTGAATTATCTGTTCAATGTCCTTCACTATTTTTCTTTGGAATGGGTTTTTTTCCCCTAATTGACTTGGTAGAACTCTTTCTATGTTAAGGAAATAATTCCTTCATCCTACATGTTGCAAGTGGTCTATTCCTGAATTGCCAAGTCTCTTAACCTTACAGGACAACAGATGGTGTGTGGTATGTGTGTGTGCATGTGCATGTGTGCCTATGTGTGTCTTAGCCAGACAGGCCTCTGCCTGTGTTTGTCTGGCTCAGGAGGGCGGGCTGGCTGCCCGCTGAGCAGAGCGCGCCCCGCCCCCACCCAGGTGACTACGCCCAGCTTAGCCTGCGCGTCCTGCACCTGGAGGCCGGGGTGTATGACGTCCCCATCACCGTCACGGACTCGGGGAACCCGCCGCTGTCCCACACATCCATCATCAAAGTCAAGGTGTGCCCGTGCGATGACAACGGTGACTGCACCACCGTGGGCGCAGTGGCGGCGGCCGGGCTGGGCACGGGTGCCATTGTGGCCATCCTTATCTGCATCGTCATGCTGCTCAGTGAGTGCGGCTGGAGGTTCCAGGGCGGGGGGGGGCACCCTACCCACCAGAGTCTGCCCCCAGCCCAGTCCAGACGAGGGGAGTGGTAATGGACATGGGCCCCAGTGGCCACACGTGCCCTCCTTCCACACACTCCCGAGGGTGCACACACGCACGCCTGCTCATGGCAGCCCCGCCCCACAGCCATGGTCCTGCTCTTCGTCGTGTGGATGAAGCGGCGGGAGAAGGAGCGCCACACAAAACAGCTGCTCATCGACCCCGAGGACGACGTGCGGGACAACATCCTCAAGTACGACGAGGAAGGGGGCGGCGAGGAGGACCAGGTGAGGCTGTGGGGACCTGCCCAGCCCTGCTGAGCACACCCCAGGGGGGCCCTGTGCCCCCACCCGCACCTCCCTCAGCCACTGACCCCAGGCCGGTGCCACCCTGCATCCTGGGGCTCGTTGAGGGGGACCTGGGAGCTGTGGGGTGGGCCTCACTGGGGATTTGGGGTGAACCTTACCAGGGTCAGCTGGTCAAGAATCCACCTGCAATGTGGGAGACCTGGGCTCAATCCCTGGGTAGGGAAAATTCCCTGGAGAAGGAAAAGGCTACCCACTCCAGTATTCTGGCCTGGAGAATTCCACGGACAGCACAGTCCATGGGGATCACAAAGAGACTGAGCGACTTTCACTGTCACTTTACCCCATGGAAGCTTAGAGATCCTTGTGAAGTGGGGTAACAGCGGTCCCAGGTCAGTGACGTGGTACAGAGCAGGTGAGGGGTGGACCTGGGTTGGGGGGTGCTGGGGGCACAGGCCCCACATGTGCCTTGAGGACAGACAGGATCTGATGGACAGAGGCGAGGCAAGCCTTTCAGGAAGGACAGACCAGGTGATAGAGCCGGATGAGGATGCGCCCTATGGACCTCCCCGGTGTCTCTGCCTGCTGTCCCCCACCCTGGGCCCCCTCGCGGACTCCACCACCCTCCCCACAGGACTACGACCTCAGCCAGCTACAACAGCCAGAGGCCATGGAGCACGTGCTGAGCAAGGCCCCCGGAGTGCGGCGGGTGGACGAGAGGCCCGTGGGCGCCGAACCCCAGTACCCAGTCAGGCCCGTGGTGCCCCACCCAGGAGACATCGGAGACTTCATCAACGAGGTGGGAGGTCCGGTGAGGGGATGGGGGGGGCCGGGGGGCACACTTGCTCACACGGACCAGAAAAGCTCACTTTTCTGTGAGAGGGGTAGCGCGAGGAGGCAGATTCAGACCTGGGTTCACTGAGCCCTGCCTGGAGGTGTGGTGGGGGGCAGGCCAAGCCCTGCCCCCCAGCATACCCACTAGGAATGGCCTGGGGGGTGGGCATTCATCCAGAGCCACCCCCTGACCACACACTTGAGGGCCCCTCCTGACATCTGGGATCTGAAGTTCCAGCCAACAGGGTCCCTCCCTTAGCTCGCTCCCCCCCAGTCTTGATACTGAACCCAAGGTGCCCACCTGCCAAGTCCACGGGCGTCAAGGACGTGCCCCACCTCTGCGCATCTTCCTTTGTGGGAAAGGGGGGCACGGCGAAGCCAGAGTGTGGTCGACTCCCCCGCCAGGCCAGTCTGTAAACCTTGCTCTACTCTGAGCTCTGAGACCCCTTTCACGGACATACGGCAGCACTTACTGAGCACCTACTGCACGCACGGCCCCGTCCCACACTCTAACCCCGTTTCTGTGGCCCCAGGGACTGCGCGCAGCCGACAATGACCCCACGGCGCCCCCGTACGACTCGCTGCTGGTGTTTGACTATGAGGGCAGCGGCTCCACGGCGGGCTCCGTCAGCTCCCTGGACTCCTCCAGCTCCGGAGACCAGGACTACGACTACCTGAACGACTGGGGGCCCAGATTCAAGAAGCTGGCGGACATGTACGGAGGCGGTGAGGAGGATTAACGGGCCTCCCCGCCGGACGCAAGGATGGACGGACGGACGGACGGACGGGAGGAGCAGGACTGGAGGAGGCGACGGGCCTTCCTGACCCCCAAGGCCATGTCACTCCGTGGTGGGGGTCCCCGCCTTGCCCCCGCCCCAGCTGTCTGGCATGAACACTTGACCCGCGGCTGACTCAGCACTGAGGAGAGCAAGAGGCACTCTGTCTTAACTTGAATTTCTTAGGACAGAAGCACTGTTTTAAAAAAAAAAAATGAAAGTGCCTTTTGGTACATGTATCAGATTCCCTCAAACTCAGGAGCGACTAAAAGCAAGCAGACAGACACCCCACCCGGTCCTGAGCGCCCCTAGCCCTGGCTAGTCCCAGCTCTGAAGGCACCAATTAAGGAATTGGGAAGAATGTGTCTTTTTTTTTTTTTAAATCTTTTATCAAGAAAACAAATGGGTGACTCGCTTGACAAAATTGACAAAGAACAATGGGTCCAAACCCCATCAGCCCCTCTGAGTCCTTATGCTTTGCTGTCCACAGTCAGGGTCTCCTACCCCATGGGGTCCCCAGGTCAGCATGAAGACCCACCTTCAGCTCCTGCAGCAGTGAGTCCCCTGGGTGCGGGCCAAGCCCGTGGACCCAAGACCCACTGTGACTCTGACTTTTGCCCCGACTCCCAGAAGCTGGAAACAACTGGGGCCATCCTTGATGTTCCCCATGGCTGCCCCTGGCCATCCCCAGGGCACCCCAGTCAATCATTAGGCCTCCCCCAGGGCCAACTGTGACCCTGAAAGCCACCCAGGTCCCCACTATCTGGGGTCCAAGAGAGTATGGTGTCCCAAGAAACCACAAGCAAAACCAGCCAGCATCCCACCCACCCCTAGTATGAGCCCTCCACCCTCTCAATGAGACTCCCAAGGAACCCCAAGTCAAAGGCCCCCAAACACTCACCAGTCCAGCCCCCGAAGGCTCTGGATGTCTCTGGACACTGGCAGGGCTGCACCGACCACAGGGAGAGCTGATGCTCACTTGGGGTCCAGAAACCATCACAGCCAGCAGGAGACTCTGGGGTCTGCCCCAGCCCTGCCCCTCTGGACCGGTCTCTGGAACCCAGGAGCTGACGAGGATGGCAGAGGTCTACTCCAATGCCGGGACAGTCCCATCGTCCGTGCCATCCATCCCACACATGTGTCTGGGCCACGCCTGCTGGGAAGAGTCTCCTTTCCTTTGGACCCATGTCAGCACCCAGCAGCTGCTGGGCCAGTTAGCTGCTCAAGCTCTCAACCTGGATGTGCCCTCTTGATGGGCAGTGTGACTCTGAAGCCAGACTCCAGGCTCAATTCCACAGGACAGCAAGAGGCGCTGTGTCCCAAGGACCCACTGGAGCCCCTGCTATGTTTGCAAGGGTTGCAGGGGGTGGGCACCTAGAGGGGAACTGGTGAGAAAATGCCCTGGAGCAGCTTCTCCCCCAAGCATCACCCAGGGATAGCCTGTCTGGTATGAAGGCACCTGGGCTGTCTGGAGAGGCCCCTGCAGGGGAATCCTCACCTGCTCTCGGCTCCCCAGCAGGACTTGGAGTCGGGCCTGCCCTGGAGCCCCACCCTGGGCCCGCTCCTGGGGTCAGGCCTCCAGAGGACCTGAGACAGGGGTGCCCATACTCCCCATGTTCTCCATGGAGGGGGTCTTTGATCCACACCCCCGCCCATGGCCTGCCCCCAATGCCATGGTCATCCTCTTTTCTAAACAGCTTCAGCCTCAAAGATGAACTTGAGTGTACACGTGTGTGTGTGTGATCTGCGTGGGTGTGTCTCCGCTGGACGTCAGGGTCTTTCCCAAACCAAACTCCTCGCTAATTCCATCCACTCTCCCAGGGCTGAGCTGAGCTGGGGAGGCGACTCGGCTTGTGGCCTGAGGGAGGCAGGTCCATCCTGACCCCATCCACAATGGCCCAGAGAGGGACGAAGGGACAGGTGGATGGAGGCAGCGGCCGCTTGGGTCATGTACTGGTGCCCCCTGGCACACAGCCCATCTCACAGACCTGGGTGGGTAGCCCGCCGAGGTGGGGGGATACCTGCTTCCTGCTATGCAAATCGCTTGGGGTCAGACAGCCAATGAAGATTGTCCCAGCACCTGGGGGCGTGGCCATTTGAGGACTGCTGGTGTCCTCAGGATTGGTGAGATGTGAGCTGGAATCTCGCGTTTGTTTTTGCAGTCAAAGTTCTAAGCATGAATATGGGGTGGGGGACCCAGACAGCTGTGAACTCTCCCCACTAGACTCCTGAAGCCTCCTTGGGTCCCCAGGGTCCTGGGCTCACCCCAGGGATGGGGTGCCAGGCCCAGGCCACAGCTCGTTGTCCTGAACACCAGCCCCCCAGCCTCCCTGCAGCTCCTCTCCCCCTCCTCTCATCACTGCCAGGCCCCCACCCCACAATCTGTCTATGTTACACAGGCCCCATCCCTGCTCCCAGGCAGCCGGAGAGCAGCCCCTCCTCACCTCCACCCCAGACAGCCCCTGGAGACCCCCACCCCCTCCCAGAAGCATCCGGGAACTCTGTCCCAACCAACGGTTAGCATTAGCTACACAGTCAGTGTCAAACGTTACTCACGCAGCTTATAGATGCGACGGGTCCAGACTAGGAGGGGTGGCCAGAGAAGGCCCGGACTCAGCGCTGGCAAGGTGCTCGGGCAGGTCCTGTGCCCGCAGAGATTTTTGTTCTTGTGACCAGGACTCACCTGCAAGGACATCCCAGCCTTGAGAAGCAGGCATCCCCAGCCTGGGGCCTCGAGCCTATCAGGCCTCGGCAGCCCTTCCCCATGGCCCAGCCGGCCTTCCCCTTCTCATGTTCTCAGAACACCCAGGTGCCAGGCCTCCCACCGCCAGAGCATCAGGGTCCCAGCCAGCCATCAGGCTTCCCTACTGTGAGTACCACAGACCCACCCAGGTCTTCGAGACAACTCTGTTCTCTCTGAGGGGAAACGTCAGGGAGGGGAGTCTTGGGTTTTGTCAAGGCTGAAAGGAACACCAAAAAAGCAAACACAGTCTCCCCCACGAAGAGCGCCCTGTCAGACAGTCTCTGGCCACGTGGTGTACATACAACAGGCCCCGCGATGCCGGGATCCCGTGGGGGGACCACCTCTGTGTATAATTGGAACGCGTTTCGCTTTTCCTTTCTCTCTCCTTTTCCCATTCTGATTTTTTTTTTTTTTTGCATGTTTCTTTCTGACAATGGACAACATGTGTAGCAGCCCGCATGACTGTGGTTGTTCTGGGGAAAGATACTGGAGTATGATGTATTCTCACTGCAACTCTGAGCATCGCGCAGTTAGACAAACGTTCCAACTTTTTTTGTAATCGTCAACAGCACAACTATTTTGTATTGTTGTTTGTATCATTTTGTACCAAAAAAAAAAAAAGGAAAAAAAGGGAAGAGCGTTGATGTTTTCAATGTGTTTTTAGTGCCAGGCGGTCTTGGTTCCACACTGCGCAGTGGCCCCGCAGGGTCGTCGTGTGCGGGAGCAGATGCTGCTGCAGGGGAGTAAATAAAGCCCCCCTTTTACGCAGTCGGCCTCACCCTGGTTTGTTTTTCTTCAAGTGTCCCTGTGAATGGCAGATGGATGAACACAGGGGCTTTGGTGTTGAGAGTGGGACTTGCTTGCTCGGCAAATATCTCAGGACCCGCTGTGTCTCGGCCTCCATTCTGGGCTCCAAGCACAGCCCTCAACAGAACCAGGCTCCTTACACGGGTGAGGCCCAGGGGTGTGGACAAGCAAGACCCAAGCACCATGCGTCTAAATATGGTAACGTTCCTAGAAGGTATAAACCAAGTTAACAAACTGCTAAACAAGGTGCGTCCCGCCTCCTGCCTTGGCAGATATACCTTCGTAACAGCAGGAAAGGCCTGGGTCATGTTGAGGATTCTCCTGCCCCTCTGATTCTCCGTGCACCTCCCACCTTCTCCCCACCACAGGGGCTCTTCATTCCAGCCCAAACTGCAGCCGCAGCCCCATGCCGGCCAGAAACCCCAAGGCAAGTGGGTCCAGTCCTCCAATGCTCTCACAGCGCAGCCCGCCCTTGACTACTGGCCTGAGTCTGAGCTGCACTCACACTTTGCTGGTCACAGAGCCACACAGGGGACCCCCAGGGACACTGCTGGACTTGCTGGGGCTCTGCCAGCCTCAGGGAAGCAGCTCGGAAAGGCTGAGGGGTGCCCAGCTCAGCCAGTACTAAGTGATGCAGTCAGACCCGCAGAGGGAGCCCCAACCACCCCCACCAGGCCTTTCTGGGGCTCAAATCACAGCTAATTACAGGCGCAGCTGACAATCACAGGCACGATTAGCACTTGCCTCTAATGACATTCACAATTAGGCAACTGCTGTGGGCCTGGGATAGGCAGTCAAAGAGGGGTCTGGCACAAACTCCTTGTAATCAGACCCCCGGGGCAACGCCCGGGGGGGTCATTCTGCTTAAGGTCACCCCTCCCAGCTCCCCAAGTGGCTCAGCAGGTTCTTTACTCAGCAGGTAAAGAATCTGTCTGCAATGCAAGAAACCTAAGCAGGAGATGAGGGTTAGACATGGGTTTGATCCCTGGGTGGAGAAAATCCCCTGAAGGAGAAAATGGCAACCCACTCCAGTATTCTTGCCTGGGAAATCCCAATCCATGGGGTTGGAGGCAGAGGCCTGGCTGTCCCTAACAACCAGGCTGGCTTGAACAACCACAAAGGCCAGCCTGGGGCCTCTCAGAAGCCAGGCAGCCCCTTCTCTGACCCCAAGGCCTACCCTTGGGTCATTTTGTTAGAGAGAGGTCACTACTCTTGCCTACATGTGGACACAGGCCCAGGAGGGCAGTCAGAGCAGTCAGTTCACAGGTGAGCACTGGCAAAGCCCCGGTGCCTCAGCTGCTCCACCAAGGAGGCCGGGTTCAGCCAGCAGTTGGGGAAAGGGGCAGACTCTGGGACCGACGTGCTGGGGGATGAACACAGGAGGCCACGGGAGGCAGTGATACAGGATGGCACT